CCTTTGCAGTATGATGAACTTCTAGGATTATTTGTGTTAATTGCTTATGGTCTTACTGAGGAAACGTGAAATGAAATATGCGTTTTTCTTGTTGTTGTTGCACTATATATAAATATATACACAGTTAGGTCCATATATATTTGGACACTGGCCAAAGGTTTTTTTTCTACCTATTTACTAAACCAGATTTCAATTATGGTTACTGTAGATAATGGACATGGACATAATCTGTAGATGCTCAGCTTTCATTTGAGAGTATCCACATTCAAACTGGATGAAGGTTTTAGGAGTTTCAGCTCCTTGTGCCACCCTCTTTTTAAAGGGACCAAAAGTAATTGGACAACTGATGTGGTGTGGGCAGTTCCTTCGTTCTGTCATTATCAAGCAGATAAAAGACCTGGAGTTGATTTGAGGAGTCGTGCTTGCATTTGGAAGATTTTGCTGTGAACAGACATCATGTGGTCAAAGGAGCTCTCTGTGCAGGTGAAACAAGCCATCCTTAAACTGCGGAAAGAGAAAAAACTCACACTGTTAGGAGCGGCAAAATGTACAGTTTGGTGCATCCTGAGAAAGAAAGCAAGCACTGGTGAACTCAGCAACTCAAAAAGACCTGGACGTCCACGACAACAGTGGTGGATGATCGCAGAATCATTTCCATGGTGAAAAGAAACCCTTCACAACAGCCAACCAAGTAACTAACAGTTTCCAGGAGGTAGTCATATGGATATACAAGTCTACCACAAAGAGAAGACTGCATGAAAGTAAATGCAGATGTTTTTGTGCAAGGTGCAAGACACTCATAAGTCTGAAGATTAGAAAGTATATATTGAAGTTTGCTTAAAAACAAACAAACATTAACATTACATTTTTGGAGAGATGAAATCAATATCCACCTCTACCGGAATCATTGCAAGACAAATATGAAGAAGGTGTTGAACAGGTCATGATCCAAAGCCAACACATCATCTGTAAAACACAACAGAGGCAGTGTGATGGCTTGGGCCTGCATGGCTGCCAGTGGCACTTAGTGTTTATTGATGATGCGACACAGGACAGAAGCAGCCTAATGAAGTCTGAGGTGTTTGAAAGACAAACTGTCTGCTCGAATCCAGCTAAAGCCAGTCAAATTGATTGGGCAGTGTTTCATAATACAGATGGACAATGACCCAAATCATACCCACAAACAAACAGCAACTGAAAGTCGCTGCACTAAAGGCCTGGCAGAGTATTAAAAAGAAGAAAACCCAGCATCTGGTCATGTCCATGACTTCAAGCTGTCATTGCAAGCAAAAGGTTTTCAGCCAAGTACTAGAAATGAACATTTTATTTTCATCTGTTTAATTTGTTAATTACTTTTGAGACCCTGAAATGAAGGGATTGTGTTAAAAAATGCTTTAGTTCCTCACATTTAATGCAGTGTTTTTGACCCAACCCACTGAATTAAAGCTGGAGGTCTGCACTCCAACTGCATCTGAGTCGTTTCATTTAAAATTTATTGTGGTAATGTATAGAACCAAAACTAGAAAAAAAAAAGTTGTCTATCCAAATATATAAATAAATACATTGACTTGCCCTATCTATTTTTTTAGGGGTGCAACGATACTCGTATCGATATTGAACCGTTCGATACAGTGTTTTCGGTTCGGTACGCATATGTATTGAACAATACAAATTTTTTAAATTTATTTTATCAACTTTCCTTCTGACGATGCTGTCTGTGTTGAGCGCTCAGTGGATCTGCGCTCGACTACTCCGCCTAGGTTGCACTGTCGAGTGCAGATCAACTGAGCGCAGCGCAAGCTAGCAAGACAGAAGCTAAGCTCATTGCAACATGGCAAATTGAACCTCCCCCACCCTCATTCAGATCTGGCGTTTGGAACTATTTTGGTCTTCATGTGACGGATGACCCTGAAGGTAAGCGAGTCATGGACTAAAGTGAAACAGTATGTCGGATGTGCCACGCAATGCTCAATTTGTGGGAACTAGCACAGTTAGCTTGTTAACGTGTTGACGCCGTCCAGCCCCATGCACGGGGCGATCCGCGGTAGCTCGTTAACGGAGATTTGCCGTGTTGTGGCGTTAACGTCATTTCAGTTTAACGCTGACAGCACTAGTGGGAACAACGAATATGACTGCACATTTTTGCCGACATCATCCTAGTGCAAAGACAAGTGGAAGCAGACAAAAACAACAAGCATGCACGCTACAAACGTTACCCGAGTCATTTAGACAGCTGTTAGCACAGGATTCTCCTTGTGGGGACCTGATATGTTTAATATGCTGCTGAGAATATAGCCCAGAAGAAGCGGATAGTATAGCTTTTATTTTGGAAAGAGACATTTCTGTGTAATAAACTCTCTTTTACTTTGTTTCAGCACCATTAAATTCAAAAACTGTACTTTTGGGTTAAAAATATATATTTATAATTTTAATAAATGATAAATTAAAAAGGCATGAACATTTTTTGTATCGAAAAAATATCGAACCATGACACCAAAGTATCGAACCGAACCGTGAATTTTGTGTATCGTTGCACCCCTGCTATTTTTGTAGTATTTTGAGTTGTTAGTGCACATTTTATTTTTTAAAAAGAATGCGCTATGCCTTTATTTTCCCCATTTTTTTCTTTATTTATTTTATTTGAAGTTATTTGTCAAGTGACATATAGCATAATACTTTTTTTTCTTTTTTTTTCTTTTTTGTACGATTTCAAAAAAGTGAAATCATTTTGAGTTTGTATTTGTATAAATATGTAATTTATCAAAGTGGTAATGTGCTGGAAAAGCTTTAAAATGGACCTTGAAAGTGCTGAATTTTACTCTGGAAAAAGGTGTATGAACCCTGAGCAAGGGTTTAAGCTGTCACTTGAGAAAGGATTATAGCAATAACCAAAATAAATCATTTTAGAATTAAGAAAAATAATTTTTGGTGCTCAGAAAGTAGGAGAGGGATATTCAAAGTTTCCACAGTGTTTCCAAATGTCAAGAACTGGAGTATCATCAAGAAATTCAAAGAGAGCCATACAGTACAGAAAGAAGACTAGTGTGTCTAAGGACCCCAGTACAAATGCCAAGATGCTTTGTGAATGAACTAGCCAATTGTAGGGAATTGTAGTCTGAAAGAAGAAAATCACTACGACCCTGCACAGGATTGTACTGCGAGTTTGCAGACCAAGAAAAACTGCGGAAGACGTTGAAGTACATTAACCCTGGAGAACCCATGGAGAACCCAAATTTGACCCCATGGTTTCCCTAGAAAACCCATGGGGTCGGCTCTGACCCCATAGGTTCTCCAGGGTTAAGGAAATTCCTGGAGAAGCACATCCTTTTGTCAGGATTTAATTGGACTTACTGTATGCAAACATCAAGGATGCATACACCTTGGTTCCTACATTATAGCCTCATATATGTACTTTCAGACTACACCCCTGTGAATGAACAACTGTTTTTCAACAGGTTTGATTCAGGCCCCACTCTGCCCTCTTGTCGCAGACTGCCCAGGGACTGTGCACATCAGCTATGTGGAATGATCATGCACATGTTTAACCCTCTGGCGTCCAGGGTATAATTGGCCTTTTTTGCCTACTTTTGATTTCACCTCTGCATTTCACCATTAAAAACTGTTTACCTTGCCTTGTTTGGTATCATTCTTTTCAGCACAACCTCACATCTCACTTTAGTTATTTTTTCATTTAGGGATACTGTATTAATGCAATTGATCTAAATTAAACATAACATCAGAGTAGAAAGAAGTTATATTTTTCACTGTAAAAACCACAAACTTTAACAAACATCTTTAACAAATTATTCTCATAACTTCAAATGCAAATATAATTTTTTTTTTATCATAACTGGTTTGATGTGACCTATCAACACAATTTAAAAACTGGTATCGTCAGATATGCGGCTGCAGAACCCACACGCAGGACTCTTTAAATAAAGCGTGCGTTTATTTACAGTGAGGTGAGGGACAAAATGCACTATATTTTCTTCTGGTGACGGTGCCCCATGTCTCAGTTTCCTCTGTTCCCAAAACCCGTGCGTCAGCTCGATCCACCTGTTTCTGAGATCCTGCAGGAAACGCCACAAAAGCTGTTGTTAGAGGACTCCATGTAAGCCGACAATCACACACTTCTAAATCTACTGGGAAACTGACGGTTTCTCAGACGACGATCTTTTTCTTCTTCCAGAATGTGAAGAAGAAAAGTCTTCCATCACGTTTCTTCTTCACTTTCTTTTTTCCCTATGATAAAGCGCCCTTTATGCGAGGAAGCCTTTTGGACGGTTACAAGACAGCAGCAATACATATATACAAACAATAAATTCAAAACAAGAGAAAGACCTGCTGGACAGGACAGGTTGCAAAGTACGTGGAAGTAGTGCAAAGGACTTGGTCCAACCATAGAGAAAAGAGTACCATAGTAACGTTAGCTAGCTGATGTGTTAGTACTCTTGCTGAGCTCAGTGAATGTTTGTGCAGTTAATCAATTAGTTGTGTAGTTTTGATGGGTGACTTTGGATTTGTGGGAGAAACATTAATATAAAAAAGAAACTGTCAGTGTGAAAAAACACTATCAAACAAAACCCCTCCTTAAATGTGCAGTTACACATTTGGAATAAAAACGTATTCATTCCCATTCATCCTATTCATTTTCTTCCACTTATCTGATTCAGCGTGGGGGGAGCCTATCCCTGCTCTGGGGTACACCTTAGACAAAAGGGCTACACAGAGAGATGCACAACCATTCACACTCACATTTACATTTACATCTACACTACAGGCAATGTAGAATCACCGGTTAGCCCAATAACACTGACTGCATGTCTTTGGACTGAGAACATGCAAACTCACAGTGTGTGGTGATTATAGTTACAGGATTTCCATTTGCTGTACTGTTTTAAATATATGTGAATTTTTAAAAAGTAAGTTGTGTCATTTATAAACTTGTAAGAGTGCACAGAAGTGAAATTATGAATGTACTCTCACTTCTTGTTTTCAAGCTTCTAGCCAACCTTGTGATTTATGTTTGTGCCATCACTGTGGGCATCATGTCGTACTACATGGCTGATCGGAAACATCGGAAGGCCTTTCTGGAGGCGAGACAGTCGCTGGAGGTCAAACTCAACCTGGAGGAGCAGAGTCAACAACAGGTCAGAGGACAGACACTGCACTGTGTGCACAGGCAACTCGTATCTTTGACGATTCATTTTATTGCTGATCAACTAAACCTGAATATTTAAGATAGTCAAAGTTTTGGCTTTTATATCCACGATGATCGGGCAACTGTTAGTGTGCAGAATTGTACAACTAAATGCAAAACAGAGATTTTCCCATTTCACCTATTTTCATCTAAGTGAGAGTAATAAAGAAATCTAAATTTACAAATAAAAAATGTCTTCTGCCTTATCATGGTCGCGGTGGGCTGGAACCAAGAGGCCGTGTGCAGCCTGGTGAGGTCGCCAGTCTGATCAGGGCTAACATAGACAAACGACCATTGCTACTCACACTGATACTTATGGGCAATTTAGAATCACCAGTTAGCCACTAATTGCATGTGTTTAGAATGTAAACAATACATTTACGACAAACTCTAAATTCTATGCTCAAAATCAGTAAAAAAAAAAAGAACTTATTTAAATGTTGCTGCTTTCACTTTCACCATCTGTTCCTTGTGAAGCGTTATGAACATTCCTATATGTTTGAATTGCTCCCAAAATGTGTGTCTGAGCACTTTTTCAATGCATGCGGGGAACTGCTGTGGTTATTTGGGCAGATAAAATAAAAATGTGTATCTCGCTTTTTAGTACACCCTTCTGTTTCACTGTTGTCCCTGTTTGAATGTGTGCAGGAGCTGCCCAAGTCCACAGTGAAACACAAGCACAGAGAACAACACTACCAAATATAAGTTATTGTCTGGCTTTATGAAACCAACAGGGCTTCATAGATATGTTTCCTCTGTTAGCAGCACTGACTTTGGAAAATATGTACACATTATTTGTATGTTGGCGTGTTTGTCTGAGCTGTGACCATATCAGCAGTCAGCTCCCCTTCTGCTGTTGCATCTGTGGCCACTAGGCAGTCTAAATTACTATTACTATTATTTATGGAACAGATGGTGTGTGTGTGTGTGTGTGTGTGTGTGTGTGTGTGTGTGTGTGTGTGTGAGTGAGAGATTGTGAGAGAGAGCAAGTAAGAAAGAGATGTCAAGTGTGAATGTGCTATGAGAAGAAATTGAGAGGGAAAGTAACCCAGCAGTGGTGATAAACATGTGAAAGAAACTCCCAGAATACTGATGGAAGAGCATGCGCTGGTGAAAGATGAGAGCTGCTGACCAATCAAGAGACATCTGACTGGTGATGGTTGCCGAGGCAACCAGCCTCCTGAGTCAGTGTCAGCTGTAATCACAGAGCCAACCTATTCAGCTGTTTGATCCTTCTTGGCCTCTCTGTTGAATTTTGATAACGATATTGAAAGCTGCTGATGCCCAGCCCGCCTCTCGGTCTGTGTGTACTTCTGTGAAGGTGCGTTTGAAATGTGTAAAAACAATAAGTGTGTGTGTGTATAGCGCTTTTCTAGTCCCTAAGGACCCCAAAGCGCTTCACACTACATTCAGTCATTCACCCATTCACACACCCATTCACACACTGGCGATAGCAAGCTACATTGTAGCCACAGCTGCCCTGGGGCGCACTGACAGAGGCGAGGCTGCCGGACACTGGCGCCACCGGGCCCTCTGACCACCACCAGTAGGCAAACACGGGGTTAGTATCTTGCCCAAGGATATTTGGCATGCAGCCAGGAGGCAGCCTGGGATCGAACCACCGACCTTCTGATTAGTGGCTGACCTGCTCTGCCACCTAAGCTACAGCCACCCCTATATATGCTTTTGGTGATATACATCGCCTCCTCTCGCTCTCCCTCTACACTGCTAATATTTTCCATGCCTCACACCTGTTTTATACGTGCACATGTGCACTCATGCACACGCTCAACCTGTCCATGCTGTTGGCACATCTAGTACGTTAATGTAACTTGCTCCACTGTTCTTCCTCTTTTCATCTCAACACACATAAAAATTAGTACAAAGTTCAAGTATTACAGCCGTTTCTATTTGAAAGTTCACATATAGATGTACCCTGTTATAGCATTCTGTACAGCACTCTTACAAACTGGATGTTAACTCCTGTGTTTCACTTTTGGATTTCCTTGACACACTGCAGCCTCACTGCCTAACAGTTTGGAGCTAGTCAACCTGTAAACACAGCAAGAGGGTTAGGGCGTTGGGGTTAGGGTGCCTTTGTAATGCTTTAAGAGACATTTAGACCTTTACTCATCTCCCTTATGTATTGCTCACTGTAGTTTCTTGTGTTCTTTTCTAGGAACTATTTTTACATTCTTAACGTTGCTGCCATTTCCTAAAAGATTGAGAAAAGTGCAATAATGACCTAGTGAACAACTAGGGCCTTAGGTTCCTTGGTCAGATGAGAGCCTTCCAGCAATTTCTGGATCTGTGGCTTGAAGATGTGATTGGTTAAATTGAATTTTTTTTTAATTTATTTCTGATTCCTGCCTTTTATTTAATAATAATAATAATAATAATAATAATAATAATAATGGATTGCATTTATATAGCACTTTTCTAGGCACCCAAAGCGCTTTTTAAGCACACTTCTAGTATGTGTTACTATGACCCTGATGAAGGCAACAAGCCGAAACGCGTTGGTCAGTCAATAAAGTTGTTCCTCTTCCCTTTAAGTGTTGCTGGAGTCTCTGCATTGCGATTTGTTTCATCCTGTCAACGCACCTTGGAAGCAGGTAAAGTTGTGCCAGAAAATCCTGCTGAGGATCTGTGGCTTGGCCTCATTCTCTTAAAACAAAATTTAATACGCTTAAATACCTTATCGTGGTCGAGAGGTTTGTGTGTCCCAGGGATCCAGGGGGCTATGTTGTCCGGTAGGGCCCCTTGGTAGGGTCTCCCATGGCAAATTGGTCCTGGTTGAGGGTGGATATCGTAGTATTGCCTCAGCTTGCTGCCAGTACGTTGGGGTTTCTCCCAGTGGATTAGAGGGTTTGTTCCATGCGCCTTCGGGTCTGCATTTGTGTGCCGAGTGGCGGTTCAGAGTACCCAGCCTTCTTGGAGTCTTTGGGCAGGGTGCTTAAGGGTGCACCGCATGGGAACTCAGTTGTCCTACTGAGAGACTTCAACACTCATGAGGGCAACGACAGTGAGACCTAGAGGGGTGTGATTGGGAAGAACTGCCTCCCGGATCTGAACCAGAGCGGTGTTTTGTTGTTGGACTTCTGTGCAAACCAAAGTTTGGCCATAATGAACACCATGTTCAAACATAAGAGTGTCCATAAATGCACGTGGCACCAGGAAGCAGACCTGCGGCCATATGTTCTGGATGCTCGGGTAAATGGACGGTTCTGAGCTGTCAACTGATCACCACCTGGTGGTGAGTTGGATCAGGTGGCGGGGAGGATCCTGAACAGACCTGGCACACCTAAATGCATAGTAAGGATATGCTGGGAATGCCTGGCAGAGGCCCCAGTCCGCACACCTCCGGAAGAGCTTCAACAGCTTTCTGAGGGAGACTGGGGACATTGAGTCTGAATGGACCATGTTCAGCATCTTCATTGCTGCACTGAGCTGCGGCCGCAAGGTGGTTGGTGCCTGTCGTGGTGGTAACCCCCGAATCAAATGGTGGATACCAGAGGTGAAGGGAGCCACCAGGCTGAGGAAGGAGTCCTATTGGGCTTAGTTAGCCTGTGGGACTTCAGAGGCAGCTGACAGATACTGACAGGCCTGAAGCAAAAACTTGGGTTTGGGAGGAGTTCATAGAGGCCATGGAAAAATTCTTTAGAACTGCCTCGAAGATATTCTGATACGTCTTACATGGAGGAAGCAGAGTCTGGGGACGAGGGTGATGACTCGCCTGTCTCCAGGGGCGAGGTCACTGAGGCAGTTAAACAACTCCTGGGGGGGATGAGATCTGCTCTGAGTTTCTGAAGGCTCTGGATGTTGTAGGTCTGTCTTGATTGACACGCCTCTACAATGATGCGTGGAGATCAGGGGTGGTACCACTGTATTGGCAGACTATGGTGGTGGTTCCCATCTTTATGAAGCGGGGCCGGAAGGTCTGTTCCAACTACAGGGGGATCACACTCCTCAGCCTCCCTGGGAAAGTCCAGGGTGCTGGAGAGGAGAGTCCTTTAGTCGAACCTCGGATACAGGAGGAACAATGAGTTTTTTGTCCTGGTCACTGGACCAGCTCTTTATCCTCTCAAGGATACTTGAGGGTTCATGGGAGTTTGCCCAACCAGTCTACATGTGTTTTGTGGACTTGGAGAAGGCATTCAACTGTGTCCTTCGGAGTGTCCCGTAGGAGGTGCTGTGGGGTGTCTGGCCCATTCAGTCCTTATTCGACCATTGCAAGAGCTTGGTCCGCATAGCCGGCAATAAGTCGGACTTGTTCCTGATGGGTGATGGTCTCCGCCAGGGCTGCCTTTTGTCAACAATTCTGTTCATGATTTTTATTGACAGAATTTATAGACGTAGCCAAGTGGCGGAAGGCTTTCACTTGGATGGTCTCGGAATTTCATCTCTGCTTTTTGTGTTATGATGTGGTTCTGTTGGCTTCATCGGGTGGTGGCTTCCAGCTCGCCTTGGAACGGTTTGCAGCCGAGTGTGAAGCGATGGGAATGAAAATTAGCACCTTCAAATCTGAGGCCATGGTCCTCAGCCAGAAAAGGGTGCAGTGCTCATTCCAGGTCAGGGATAAGTTCCTGCCCCAAGTGGAGGAGTTCAAGTATTTCGCGGCCTTGCTCACAAGTAACAGGAGAAGGGGAGCGGGAGATCGACAAACGGATTGGTGCTAATGTTCCAATGTGCATGGCAAAGTGTCCTTGTATTCAAGCCAAATAGAAAAGCAATAGGATAACCAGTGTCTTCTCTGTGAGGGACCTGATTATTACCAGTGTTGTTTTCTAATATGCTCTGTCTGCTTTTGCTTTTGTCCTCCACAGGAGCGTCTGCTCCTCTCCATTCTTCCAAAGCACATAGCTGATGAAATGCTTCAGGACATGAAGAAGGGGCCTAGTCAGAAAGAAATGCAACAGTTCAACACCATGTACATGTACAGGCATGAAAATGTCAGGTAATTTGGTACCTCTATAAACTTAAACCATCAAGGGTTCTGCATGTCTGTGAAGTATGAGTCTTGTGATTTTTGTCAAGGTTTGGGGATTTGGGTTTTATTTCCTTTGGTAATTCTAAATCCTTGTTAATATTTGGCTCAGGATTGCTGTATTCACTCAGTTGCCCACCACAACTGTATACTCTACAACAGGGGTCCCCAATCCCAGTCCTCGAGGGCCGGTGTCCCTGCAGGTTTTAGATGTGTCGTTGATCCAACACAGCTGATTTAAATGGATAAATTACCTTCTCAACATGTTCTCCAGAGGCCTGGTAATGAACTCATCGTGTGATTCAGGTGTGTTGACCCAGGGTGAGATCTAAAACCTGCAGGGACACCGGCCCTCGAGGACTGGGGACCCCTGCTCTACAATTTCCACCAGTGTTTTTGGACTTTGTGTTACTTTTGATTTGCATTTGAGCTATCAGAGTGTTTTACAAACTGTCTTTTGTCCTGCTCTGGTTTTTGGCATTGTTCCCAGCTTCACTGTTTGTGACCACTGCATGTTTGAAGTTAAAGGTTTGGATTTTGTATATTTATTTTTCGTGTGAGTTGCATTTGGGTGCTTTCTCTGTTACAATTCTAAATTGGCTTTAAATGTAGCTTGTACTCTAAAGTGCTTTGAATAGTAAGACTAGAGTGAAGCTATTAAATATATTGATCAACATTAATGATGCCTTCACAGATGTGCACAGTACTCTTATCATGTGAACAATGCTGTTCAAAAATGAGTGTACATATTTCTTAAAAGAAAAGTTTTGCCTTTTCATGTTTGACATATTGTCTGTAAAAGAACAAACAAACAAACAAAACAGTATAAATATAAATCATTGCATTCTTTATTTACAAATTGCTTTTTGGAACATGGCTTGTATATATTTTAACATTAATGGATAAGAATATTGTGAAAAAGAGGCCACTAACTTAAAAATGAAAGCCGATGGTCCTATTCGATTTGCTTATACTAAGCTTCTTCTTGAATTTTTGAAAATGTGCATGAAGAATTTCTTAATGTACCGGTAGCTGTTAAAGAATGATGTCAGTAATGTGTATTTTTTTCTCTTTCAGTATTTTGTTTGCAGACATCGTGGGCTTCACCCAGCTGTCGTCTTCTTGCAGTGCTCAGGAGCTTGTCAAGCTGCTTAATGAGCTCTTTGCCCGCTTTGACAAACTAGCTGCTGTGAGTATCACAGTGTAAACTAACTAAAGTGATGTCACGGTTATTTGTTGTTATTTACATTTTTCCGATTTAGACTGAAATCTTTTATGGGATTCATCAAGATTACAAGAAATACTCATTTAGAATCCACCTCTAACCTTTATGTGATTTATGGGAGGTCATTTGAAATGATTGTCACATATTTGTTGTAATGATGCTTCTTGGCAATAAATATTATACCATTGGAAAAAGCCTGTTCCTTTCCCCTCAAATGGTGCCACCTTTGCTAATGAAAACCCGCTGGTTCTGCTGTTGTTTTGATCTCTGGTACTCAGGTGCTGACAATCCGATACAACAATGGTCTGCTACAATGGTAAGGCATGCCACATTTGACTGATCTGGATAGGGCTTGTGCCAAGGGGCATCTTCAAGCTGGTGTTCTGTAAAACCAAGTTGCACCAATGTGCCTTAAATGCCCTTCACTGTCGGGCCTGTTTGCAGGTGTGTCGGCATCATGTAAACTGGAACCTGAACATGAGGAGGAATATTATGCTCTGTAATGAGTCCAGATGCAGTCTACTGATATGTTAATCTATTAACTTGTAGGGTAACAGCTTTAGTTAGAGGCGGTGTGATGGTGTGGGCCTCAGTTGGGCGGTGGGGGTGTGTGGCGGAGGTGTGGTTCTGTTGCTCAGCTGCAGGGGAGGGGTGGAGCAGTGTGTTCAGGGTGTGTTGTCAGGGGAGGAGTTATACATCTGACCTCATCATCCAATCATGATTCCCCTGTAAAAGATGTTGCCAGGATCTGAGGTGGGAGGTGTGCTGTTTGTGGTACAGAAGCAGGGCAGCTGGAAAGGTGCACAGTGGAAACCCAGCCAATAAAGACGTGGAAAACTGCAATGCTGCTGTCGGGTCCATCATTGTCACAGCCGTGCCAAAACCCGAGTCGTGGCATGGCGGAACAATGACTGGCCCAACCAGTTAAGGCGTGGGCCCAGATGTTGGTGAGCTGCCAGCTTTGCAGTGGGAGCAGACAGCTGTGCAGGACCAGTCTGTGCACCAGACGAAAGTGTCGGAGAGTCTGGTCGCTCAAGGTGGTTCCTTGCTGACACTGCCGTCGCCCCCACCCTCTACCGAATGGGTGAAGGAGACAACCCCCACGCCTTCCTGGAGGTCTTTTGCGCCATGGCGGTGGCGTGCCTATGGCCGGAGGAGTGACCGCCTGTTCATGTACATCAGCAGGAAACTGTTGGAGTGGGAGGCCAGGTACAACACAGTAGAGAAGGAGTGCCTGGCCATCTGGTGGCCACCTGCCCTTTTACCCTATGTGCGTGTCATGCCCCGCTACAGGAGGAGGTGCCAGGCTTTTTCGGCTGTGTATGGTTCTTTCACATGATACTGAGGCCCCTGTTTGTTAAAAGAATAAACTGTTTCATTTTCAATATGGATTGAAGTTTTTCATGGGCACAGTCCACGTATGTGGCGGCTCAATCCATAAATGGATTTTCTTTCCAAATGTGGAAAGACAACAGGCTTGTCAGTGGTAGAAATATGTATTGCCAAGAACAAAACACACATAAAGTTGTTTTACAACACAAATGTTCTGACTTTTTGTGGTAAGTTGATATATATCCATGTTTAGCAATGGTTGCTGTGGTTTCATGTCACTTTCTCAGTGGCTCAGTGTTGCTGTCAGTTTATTATTATGCATATGTATTTATGTTTAGATCACACGGGCCAACATGCTAAGAGCATGAATAATCTCTGCCTCTCTTCCACAGCATGTCTTATGTCCTGTCTCCCTCCTCTCAGCCTTGCTGCACATGGCTGCCCCTCCTTGAGAAACTTTGATTGTTGCCGTTCTGTCTGTATAGTTATAGGGTCTTTATCTTACAATATAAAGCACCGTGAGGGGACTGTTGTTGTAATTTGCCGCTTAATAAATGAAATTGATTTGAATTGAATTGTAAGCAACAATAAAATTGCAGACAACACATTTGAAGCTAACGGTAGCTGATTCAGTAAAGGAGAAACTCACAGCAAGGAGTTTATTTCTACCTACGATTGCGCCTGCAACACAGGACCTAATCCCTGAAACCTCATTCAGGGTAGGGATAACTGCACTATTCAGAGGTGGGACCAAGTCATTGTTTTGCAAGTCTCAAGTAAGTCTCAAGTCTTTATCCTCAAGTCTCAAGT